TATCTATAGTGTTGGGATGTTAATGTGGGAAATATTTGCAGGTCATCCACCATTTGACAATAGAGCTCACAATCATCGTTTAATTTTTGATATATGTGTGGAAGGTTTACGACCACCAATATTGCCTGGAATGCCTGATGATTATGCGCAAATGATGCAGAGGTGTTGGGATGTGGATCCATTAAAAAGACCAACTAGTAGAGAGCTTTTGATATTTGCTTATGATAAACGTGATGAAGTTTTTAAAAATAATAATGATAATAATAATAATACTACTAGTAGTGATGGTGATAGTGATTCGCAACAAGTACACGAATCACATCCAGGTGCATATCATAAAAGTAGGATACTAGATGAAGAGATTGCTAAATCAAAAAGCTTGAAAATTTATACAAGTAATGATAGTTCGTTAAATAGTCTTGATTTTAACTCTCTCCTCTAGGATGTTGAAGGTAAATAAAAATTTCATTTTTAATTAATTAATTGGAACTTTACTATCCATTAATTATTACTAACAATATTTTTAATTGCGTTAGGTCCTAATAATTAAAAAAAAAGAATTGATGAATGACTAATTTTAATCTCCTAAATTATTTGTTATAATTATTTGTCTTTTTAATTTATCTTTATTTTATTTCTTAAAGCTAAATAATAAATTTTTCGCAGTTTTTTGATTCTTGTTAAATAGTTATATTGCAAGGTATCATTTCAGTTAATACTGATTATTTAACAAGTATGGCTGATTATGCAGGCAACTCGCAATAATTTGGTGCTTGCCAATTAATTAGTTTACGACGAATTTGTGGGTACATTTGATGGTACCAGATAAATAAAGATGACCTTTTACAAAGCTCAAGGGTTTCGATTTATTGATCGATTGCAAAATCGCTTTGGTTTACTTGCAAAACAACTTAAGCAGCTTTGTTTAACAGCCTTACATTTACGATTACAACAACACTACCAGTATTTCTGATTAACCTTTGGACAATACTTCATTAACACCCACTGTTATCCTAACCTTTGCTTGTTCACTAAAGCAAATCACGTTACTAATCACTGTAAACACCCATTAGTTAACCAACGTTAATCCTAACCTTGTTTACTAATCAAAGCAAATAACTCCATAATTGTTACCTTTTACGAACTGGAACTACACTTGTTTCTTTTATCAAAGTGCTTTAAACAAAAAAAATAAAATAAAACCAACGTTTTTATTTTATTTATTTTAAAAGCTTATTAACGTTTAATAAAAAATAACAATTCTATCAGGGAGTTTTATTTTATCAGAATGTTAATTATCTATACTTTTCCTCCGCAAGGACCGACCAAGATAAAGATAGTTTATTATTGCAAAGTAACTTAACCGATCAATATTGATATTATAAAAAGCTTTTTGCGAAAAATTTTTATTTACACTACCCTGATCATGTATCACGTTATTTATTAATATTACAGTGAATTTCGATTTAGCCACTTAGTATTAGTATTAGTATTAGTATATATTAGTACTAGAAAATTTTTCGAAAATCCGTTAAATCGAGATTTAATTAGTACATCCGTTATATCAAGAAAATTTACTATTACTATAAAAATACAGCCCAGTTCTGAGCCTCAATTCGTTAAAATCGAGATTTTTATTAGACATCCGTCATATCGAAATTCACTGTGTAATACAAGTAATGCTTGAGTTTAGTAATAAATGAATGTGTGGGAACTGAATTGTATTCAGCAAAAGAAAAACTTGTCTGATGAAACAAAGGAGAAATTGGGATGCACAAGAAAATATAAAAAAGACCTGGAATATATATTTATAAGTTTTTTTTATGAGTTTTTATATTTTATCAGCCTCTAAAGCATTTTTACTTGCGTCATTTTTGACTTAATGGCAGCGAATTTGACGCAATATTTTTACAACTTTGGAAACATTCCGTCAAACAACATTATTTGCAGATATAATGCTTTGTGAATTAACAGTTCGCGAGATTTTAATGGCAAATAATATCATTATTTATATTATTTATTATTATGAATGAAGATTTAATTTTTTTATTTTTAATAAAAAAGCATGCCGTGTTAATGCGTCTATCGACAAATAGAGGCAATTCGATTTTTAGAATTAACAAATGTTATGGAATCAGTTATAGGCAATGAAGGTAGATGAATATTATTAATCAATTATGTATCTGTATATTTATAACGTTATTATTTTTATTGAAGAAAAACGTGGAATATCTGGGGGACAGTGTAAACGCGTAAATATTGGAATGGAACTTGTAGCAGAACCATCTATACTTTTTTAGCAAGTATTTCAAATAATAATAATGAGAATAAGAATAACAACAGTTTCTAAGTAAATTTTTTGTGCGCATATCAATTAATTAGGATGAACCGACATCAGGTTCAGATTCAGTGACTTTTAAAAAATGTCGCGCACGAACAAGAATTAACTGTGGCAGCAGATATTCATTCACCTTCGCCACAAGCATTCAATACATTTGATGATCTTATGCTGTTATCTAAAATGGTAGACTCATATACACTAGAGTACGTGAAAATGCAATCGGCTATTTTTCAAGTATTCTCATCAGAAATGAGGTAACTATGTATATATAAACAAATTATTGTTTTTTATTGATTTTTCATTTATAATAATATTAATAATATTAATTTTTAATAAGTCCATATGATTTTACGTTGGAGATTGCGTCTGGTTGAGTGAAATTTGAAAATAATCCAAATTATACATTAGAAGATCTTGCAATAGCATGGAAATCATATGCAAACAATAAGACTAATAGTAATATTAATTGAGATGATGTTAGTGAGACAAATACATTTATTGATAGTTATAGTGAATCATGTCATATGAAAATAGTAATGGAAACAGAAATAAGGTCGTCCTCACGATCTTTCTCCTGCTCTTCCTCCGTCTCCACTGCCACCACCACTACAAAAAATTCAAAATTATCATCAAAGATAAAATAATAATTTCATCCATTCGACTACTAAAAGATATTCAACTATACATTGGGATGTGATTTTTGAATTGATTTATTTTATAAAAAATATGTTTTTGAATGATCCAGTACGACAAACACCAATATTTTCCTGGTTTTTATATTATTGCTGAAACGATCTCTATCACAAGCTTATAGAAACAAAACAAGATTTGTGATTGATGAGTTATTAAGTTTTGTCCCTGGTGCATTTCTTTCAGCAGCCGTCAGTAACTTCACATATATCGGTGCTCCATCACAAGAATTATGTTTGGTTATGCCATTTGTAATGCTCCCAAATTGTCTATCACTGTCAGATTCTTTACAAGTAAGAGAACGATTAGATTATTATATTTTATTATATTATTGTTTTGAATCTTTTTATATAAAAACCAGATTTATTTTTAGGATATTACCATATATATGATTTTGGGACTTACATTCTGTGTAATTTATGGTAATATATTAAAAAAAATATTTAATCAATTGAAATCATTAGGTAGTGGTTCAACATTTGGTTATGAGAAAGTGGTTTATTGGCGTGACATATCATCAGGAATGTCAGCAATACCATATTTTTCTACAAAAGTCATAGCAGATATACCAAGATTAATATAACAGCAACATTTATGTATTCAATATCATTTATAATGTTTTATTTAAATGAAACAAAATTTATGATATTTATTTAATTATTTTACTAGGTTATCTGATCTGTACTGGTAGGATATTTCTTATCAATCATTGTTAGTAAAGAACAAATAGGAATTATAGGCATTTTCACTTGGGTTTGTTATTTGGAGGAATTAATCCAAGTTTAATAAAAACTAAATCTAATTCAAAATATGCATGGGCACGTTGGTTATGGGAAGTAAATAAATTTACAAATTCATTATTATGTTTTAAAAATCTGATTAAAATACTTTTTTTTAAAAAAAAAAAAAAGATTTCAGCACAAAGATGGGCAATTGAAGCAACATATTTAAAAAAAATCGGGACAAAAGTGTAAGTAGATACATAATTACATAAATATATGGGATTTGGACTAGGAAAATCAACCTCTCAGCTGATTTTTTTATTTTGAGTTTTCTTACTTAATATTAATCTATTATACAAGGATTACAATTGGAGAAAAAATAGGATCTCGTTTACTTAGTAGAGGAATGAGATATAGGGCTTGGAATACTTTCTTTGTATATTAAAAACATATGTGTAACCAATTTTAAAAGGATTGTTACTAAAAATAGATTTTTTGTCTGAGGGGTCGATTTTCCTAGTCCAATTCCCATATTAATATGTTTAAGGTTTATTTGTAAATGTTGGTGTTACTATATATATGGATGAATTTCGCGTTTTGTTTATTTTTACTAATAAACACTAGTACTATATAGTAATTTTTCATAGGGGCGATAGTTTTGAAATTGACATACTCCTTGGTAGTACCGATTATTATTATTACTAATATCCGGATATTCATTTTGTGCAACCGGAGTTTCTAATTACAAAAATTTCAAGGTTGATCTTATATGCGCAATCGTGTCAATAAACCAATAATCCCATTTGATATGATGCAGTTTGATTACTCAGTGGATAAAACTCAAAAAAATTTTTAAATAAATAGCGAATATTTCTTTTCTTTTTAATATTTTAAATTTAATTTAATCCAATAATTATAATCAATTATTATTATTTTATAAAGTAATCGCAACAACAACAATAGCAACAATAATAAAAAATGGCTATAATTGAAAGCACCACCGTGTATTTAGTTGTCGCGACATTCCTTGTCGGCTATTATACTTATAAATGGATAATTTATCCATTATATTTATCTCCTTTATCTAAAATTCCTGGTCCTCGTCCTGACCATTTTCTGTTGGGAAATTTCTTGGAAATTATTAAACCTACGGTGAGATCATGATTTATATATCAGGGCTGGCTGCGTAACCCAAATGAGCACTTGGCTAAACTGACTAAACTATTTAGTCATATGCTAAGTCAAGTTTAGTCAAGTTTAGTCAAGATGATTGTTACTAAATTAGGTTTTTAACCCCTTTACGCTTGCCAGCCCTGTTATATATATAAAATAATTATGTTTATAAAAAATTTGACCTCTTTTTTTACATTTTAATTTAATAAGGGTGGGGTTCATTGGGCAGAAAAATATGGCAATGTATATAAGTGTTATGGATTATTCAATGAACCAAGGGTTTATATTCTTGATGAAAAAAATCTTCAAAAAGTACTTGTTAATGATGCATATACTAAATTTGGTAGAAGAAGGAAACTTGTAGAATTTTTAAAGAATATTATTGGAGATGGTATTTTGTTGGTAGATGGTGATGTACACAAGAAACAACGTAAATTAATGAATCCATTGTTCAGTAATCATAGTGTTAGAGTAAATAAAAAATTTTTACATTAACAGCAGGTTTGTCTGTGGGACTAGTTACATTAATATTAATATTGATATTATTTATTTAGAATATGATTCCAACATTTACAAAGATTTCTAATACATTGAAAGATCTATGGAAAGATGAAATAAAGAATAGTCAAAATGTTAATAATGACATTGATAAAAAATGTGCAATAATTGATGTTGGTCATTATATGGGAAGAGCATCTTTGGATATTATGGGCATAGTTGGTAAGTAATTCTATATATAGTATTGAACAGACAATAAAATAATGCAATTAAAATCAATAGTCAGTGTGTTTAATCAAATCAATCTTCACACAATTAATAATAATTTGTTATTTAGCATTTGATTCTGAAATAAATTCTTTGACAAAACCATCAAGTCTTGCTGACTCATTAAGCATTCTTTTTGATCACAAATATGGGTTTGCATTTAATTTATTATCAGTTGCTTTACCCATATTTAAATTGCTGCCATTAAAAATAAAACATGATACCCAAAATGCTTCAATTGAAATTGAAAAAATTACAAGGAAATTGGTTCAAGATAAATTTGATGAATTGAAAAAAGGTAAATTTGATGGCAATGATTTGATAAGTGTTTTGGTGAAAGCTAGTTATGGACAGGAAATAGATAACAATGAACAAATGAGTTTTGAAGAAATAAGAAATCAGGTGGTTGTTATTACAAAGAAAATGAAGGAAATGATTTTTTTATAATTATCATTATTATTTTTTAACTAAAAAAAAATTTTCAAGGTTATGACATTTTTAATAGCAGGACATGAGACCACTGGTGTTATGATGACTTGGGTTTTGTATTATTTGTCCAAAGATCAAGAAATTCAAGACAAACTCAGAGAAGAGATTGTTAAAGAATTTCCTGATAAAGATTCTGAGCTAAATTTTGATCAAATCAATTCCATGGAATATTTAAATGCAGTTTGCAAAGAAACTCTTAGAATCGCCCCTCCAGGTATATTATTATAATGAATAAGAAGAAGAAGAAATATTGTTATGATTATTATATAAATATAAATGCATTTGTTATATATTTATATATATTTTTTATGTTATAATAAAAGTTGTACTTGTGGGTCGTACAGCAAATGAAGATGTCATGTTTGATGAGTATCTTATTCCAAAGGTATTATTTTATTTATGAATCCTGTTATTATCTTTATAATATTACTAGTAGTAATAAATTAATTTAGGACACACCAATTTTTGTGCCAATTTATCAAATTCACCATTTGGCATCAATTTGGGGTGATGATGTTGAAAAATTTAATCCATCACGTTGGTTTACAGAAAAGGTTAAAGGTCTTACTCATTACAATTTTCTGCCATTTTCAGCTGGGCCAAAATCATGTATTGGTAATAGGCTTGCATTAGATGAAGCAAAATTTATCTTGTGCAATTTATTAAGAAATTTCCAGTTCCATGAAGTCAAAGGTTTCAAAGTTACAAGTAAAGCAAATATGACTCTTAGACCTGATCCTAGTGTGAAGTTGTGGGTCACTGAAATTGATTATTAATTGGCGGATAAAAGTGAATGTTATTATTATTATTATTATTTATTATTTATTAAATACACTCAAATCGGGTGGACCTTTGATTCCATATTAATATGTTTATTTTTTATTTTTTCTTTCTAACCAAAAATCGTAATTATTTCAGGCACTTGTAATTGTTTCAAATACTTGTAATTTTTTCAAATACTTGTAATTATTTTGGATACTTGTATATAATCGTTTCAAGCATTTGTTATGATAATATTGTGACAATTCATGAATGATTTATTGATTGATAAAAAACAATACAAACTTATTTGTAAATTATCCTACTATATATATAACAAACATTTTTCAAAGATAACATATATTTTTACACAATTTGTCCAGAAAACATTTTCATTTAAAAAGTAATTCTTTCAAAACTTGCAGGAAATTTTTCCTAATACTTCAATCGTATAAATCATTTTTAAAATGTCATAATATACTTACACCTGATAAAAAATGATGGTGATTTTTTTGATTTGTATGATGATATACAGTATATAATTTATAATTTTTGAAATGGAACAATCAAATTGATGGTGTCCAAAAAGAAACTTTTATCAATTAAAGAACAAGAAATAATTTGTTAGAATTTATGCAAGTATCTGACATTCAAAATAATTACGAGTATCCGAAATAATATTCGAAATTCGTAATTTTAGATTTACGAATATTCGAATATGGAGTTATAATTACGGTTAGGAACCCTATTGTCAACAATCACTTCACCAACAGTTGTTTCGTTAACAAATGGTTCGAATTTAATAAGTTGGAAGCAACCATGCGACAAACCTTTGAAATAGTCTAATAAATTAAATTGTACTACTCGAAAATGTATTTAAAGGGTTGGTTTTTGACTAGCATAGTGAGAGTTTGTTGTTACATGAAACGTTATACAGAACTCATTGCTTCTGAAACTTCGCCAGTATAGTTGTTACCTTTCTAAATTGGGAATCAAGTTCAGATCTAATTCAAATCCAGTTTATCACTTACTTTTTATTGCCAGAATGTTTGCCGTGTATTGTAAAGCTACGTTGCACAATATAAAAAATTAGTGTAACATTTCAAATTTCCATTATGCTTTTTCGACTTGGTTGAAGAATAACTCTCTTCCCAACTCTTCTCTTGATCATACCTCTCGATACAATCAAAATAACCTTAATATAGTGAATTTCAACGAAATGATTGTAAATACAACCAATATTTAAGATATATGATTAAGACAAAACAAGAACGATGTATGAAAAAACCAAACAAATTTATTTAATAAAAACAAAATTTACAACCCAAAAAAAAAATTTTTTTTTTACATGTTCTAATAAAATCTCCATAGTTGCTGCTGATTCAATGTTATCCGAATCATCATCAACTGTATTTTCGTTATTCTCGATAAACTCATTTTCGTTTAATCTTTTTCTTTTAGTGTGTGCTGACATTTTTTTTTGATTTCGACTTGAAGATAGTCCAACATATCAAACATTTAGATTGGCACCTTTGTAGACAATGATTGAGATAACTATGTTCACGCGTGAATCCAATTATTCAAATTAGTATAGTTAGTGTAATCACAATTACGTAATTGCAAAAAATGTTTGTAGATGGTTTCCTAGAAGTAACAAAGCCTCTTGGAAGGTGAC